GATTCAACCAACATACAACCAAGATCATACATGATTCAACATACATGTCACACGTTACATAAAGTTCACAAATATAGTTCCATACATCAGAGTACGATTAAAAGTTATTACAAACCCAGTTCAGGTAAAATAGTAGCGAAAGCAAATAGAGTTTGAAACCATCATCTGTCATCATTGTTCAAATATGGTGCCAGCTCATGATCACAATCCCACAAAAGCATAAGAGAGGGATTAATAAGAGATGCCTTGCCTAGGGCCCTACTCCTCGTCCACGGCAGGACAGAAGCAGTTCTTACAGTAGCCATGATACATCGTATTATTTGTAACAATGGGAAATAAACCCAGAGTACAAGAAGGTACTCAGCTAGACTTACCCGTCATAAACAAAAAAAAGTGACTGCAAGGATTATGCAAGGCTATACAAGTGGAGCTAGCTTGACAACATTTTGCATAAAAAGTTTACCAATTCAAGTATACAGTTATAATTCCGTCATCAAGTTAATTATAGCTATTCATCTCTAGATTAGCAACTAACCTATGCTAAACATGTGGTATATCATTTAGTAGCATAACAATAATAACTATAGCCGGTGTAGTAATTCCATGTTCATCATAACCATCATTCCATAATACACTTACTATGATGTTGGGACTAGTCAAGTTTCTCACTATCCGGGAGAGATGGCGATTCGAATCAATTTCAACAAGCTGGGAATTTATTCAAAACACAAACCCAGAAAGATCACATCAACAGTCACCTTTGGTACAACTCAGGTCCACATTTCGCGGGTTCGATCAGCGCCGCACAATCAGGGACGACTAGCTGCCAGGACGTTCAGGCCCGGCCTGCCCTTAGGCTCACATCTGGTTCCCCGCACATCCTTACTACCATCCAGAGTGTGCACTTTCATAGAACGGGGCCCGGCCTGAGTTGAGCTACTCGGCTTCGTGATCGAAACGAGTTATCCGGCTAGCTAAGTAAGAGGCATGCGTTCAATCTTGATAGAGTCACCAACAATGGTACAGTCCTTAATCGGCACAGACCTAATGCATCAAACATAAAAGATTCAAGTGATATTTTGTAAAACATGGGAGGCTTAAAATGCTCCGAGGCTTGCCTTTGATAAAGAAAGTTGGCCTATCATCCGGGCACTTGGGTAGGTCTTCAAGAGTTTGCTCCTCTCCTTCTAGACCTACGGCTCGAGGTGCCTCCTGTTGTTCCTCCAGCTCTTCGTCGAATTTCAATAGAGTTATCCCCTCGAACGATCCTATATGCATGAGCAAGAAATAAGATATCATGGATGCATATATAATGACATGTATAATATGATATGATATGATGAATGCATCCTCATAAGTGTTCTCAATAAGGTGATTTATTTATATTCATTTATTAATTTCCTTAGATAATAAGGTGATTTACAGAGTAAATATTTCCATTGCTTAATAAATTCCGAGAAAATTATAATAGGCTACACATGACCCTAATAGTCTACTGTACAAATTTCATGCCATTTAGACAAGTATAGCTACCTTTACAAAAATGACAAGTTACATCTGCTTATTTTAGCAAAAATAGTTTAGTATAGTGAAAAGTGTTAAGCAACAGATTTAATATTTTTCTTACTTTTCTCCTAGCATTAGAATACTGTATAAAAATTTGTATGATTATATGTTATGTATTTTTAACCCAATTAATTTCACTAGAATCTAGCAATTAATTAAGATTAAATAGAAGACCATATTAAAAGTATGTTTACTGTAAGATTAATATTTTTCCTAGCTAGAGTATGTCAACACAAGACCAACAAAATTAGAATCACAATTTTATCACTTTCCTAGCTCAAGTTATGCATTTTACAAGATATAAACTACTTTAAAAGCACTTATATTACTCAATTGAATTCTTCCAGAAAAATACCCTAAGCAGTCACTACAAGGTTCTACCTCTAATGCCACGCCACATGATTGTAACACCACTAATTTGGTTGTCATAGGTGGGTCATATTGCAACTTTTTCAAAAAATGGTTGCAATATATGTCAATAATGCAACGAACTAAATTTGTTGCAATATGTGTGGTTTGTCATTGCAACAGGCTTGTGCTACTACAACCATTTAAGAATTGTGTTGCAATTAGTTGGCATTATTGTAATGGCATTTTTTAGTTGCAATAGTATTAGTTTTCGTTGCAATTACTTGATGTTATTGCAACTATATTGAATTTGGTTGCTTTTGCTGGTAGCTATTGGCACGGTTATTATGGGTTGCAATAATGTTCCATGGTGTTGCAATTGCTAGGGTGGTTATTGCAACAAGATTTCCGAATGGATGCAAGTTCCTATTGCCACGGTTTTCTGGGGTTGTAATAATTTTTTGTGGCGTTGCAATTGTTAAGTACTTATTGCAACTACAATCCTAAATAGTCGAAATATCATGTTAATATTGCCACGGTTTTTTTTGTTGCTATAGGCTACCGCTGACGCAACGGCCTAAAAATGTTGCAATATACAAAATTGGTTGCAATATACAAAATGCTCCACGCATTAGACTACCCCTGATGCAACGGCCTAAAAGTGTTGCAATATACCAAAAAATAGTTGCAATAGACAAAATACTCCACACATTTCTGAATAATGTATTCTATTAACAAAAAAAATGTTCCACAGAGGATTTGATCCCAAGAACTAAAGTACAAGCAAACACTCATCTACCACTAGGCTACTGAGGTGTGTTCAACATTAAGCCGCCTTTATATTACTTGTTTACATGATGAAGATGGGTAATTCACTTCATATGTCAACAAGGACGATAACCATCCACATCTTCCATGACAATTTCAGAGAACAAAAAAATTGTCCAGCTTGCTGATATTTGTGCTTATGATAGAAAACAAACATGAGTATAACAGTTTAAAGACCAACTGCATCTATTCATTATCCCAGACAATGAGATTGTTTTCAAAAACAAATTCTAGAAAAAACATCATTGTTGTACAAAGGATAAGTATTTAAACAAAGAAATCATCTTCTATGCTTTCTACCGCAACTGGTGCAACAACTCCATCGTCAATGTAGATGTCATCTTCGTCATCATCATCCTCATCAAGTAAGACCGCATCATCTGGTTCGAGAACCTATCAGCTACATACATCACATGTTTGTGCATACAAGCTAGCAGGTCTGTGTACACTATCAATTGATTTTTAGAAGAAAAAAATCAAAAATCTCTTGAATCATCAGCAAGTCAGCTTGTTAGTGTTGCTCATCCAACCCACCTCCTAGAATAATCTGTAAAACAGATCACCAAGCAGCAGCTTCTAGAAATTAAAACGAAGTATTTGAAGTTGAAAACTTCGATGATTACAGCTTTGGTCAATCAGAGAAAGACAACACAAAGTGCTTTGACAACATAGCAAACTAAAACAAAGACAACACAAAGTGCTTTGACAACATAGCAAACTAAAACAAAATGTGATGAGTGTTGGTGTATGAGTGCATTGATCCTTAGATGGCAAATATTATATGAGATTGGACTAAAATCTGATGGTTTAACATGAGTAAAAATAATATAGACCAACTATTTTCATTGAAAGAGCCAATCATTTCTTACAGTATTCAAGAAGTGTCCCATAGCTAGCACTGGAAGTTATCTATGTCCAAACTGTAAAAAACCACAGTTACATAATGTGAGCTACCTAGCTGCCCTACTCCAGCTAGCATAATATACTTCCAAATCCCCCACTACTTTTCAATAGGATAGTACTATGTATTCTGAACACTAAACTTGTCCAAAGAGAAACAAGCCTAAATATTGTAATGTTGAAACGATAAATTCACAATGCCTATGCATCTGAACAGTGGGAAATTCTGAAAGTAAACTTATTGGAAAAAAGTAAATTCACAAAGTTATGGTAATTGTAGCTTACAACTCAACAGTCTCCAATGTAATCCAAAAACAGTGAAAGGAACCTGTTGTTGCATGGACGGTCATCATTAGGCCCTCAACAATGCCAAATTCCATGTTGATAACCTGCAGACCATGAATGTATATTAGCATGTCAAGTAATGAGTAGTGATACTGCAATGGCAGCACTGGAAGATACTCGGCATCCAAAGGGCATGGAACTCTAAGTACAAAGGACTTGCATCTTTTATCATTTTGCAATTACAGTATGTCAAATTATTCTATTTCATAATTTGAGCTTACTAGCCAATCAATAAAGGATCAGATACATTTACGAATCAATATATATTCACTTTTTTACAGAAACTACGACAGCTTATGCAAGCTGTCTGAACTTTATCATTACACAGAGCAGAGCAGGTACGCTTTGAAACCTTGGACCTTCCTACTCTTACCTTTTGATAGTAGCTGAGATTTACTTCTCATTAATCTCCAAGGTTGACGCATCGAGAACCTTTCTGGAGCCTTTGAATGGATCGTGCATTGAATCATCCAAGGTTTTGTACTCCCTCCGTTCCAAATTATAAGTTGGAACTGCTACTGAATGCACTTGTGAACTGCTACTGAATGCTGCCTGGTAGGCTGTGAACTGCTACTGAATGCACTTGTGAACTGTTGCTTCTTCTCAATCTGAACCACACATGCAGGGCCTCTTCTCTACTAAGGGTTATAGTAATTTGAAGTAAATATATAGATTAAGGACAATATCCAAACGCAGAAAAAGAACAGATGAGGACACGATCTACCTCAACTGAAATAACCGTGTACCTATGTGTGTGTGTGAGAGAAGGGTGATTCGTTCATCACCTGGGTGATGTGGAGGCGGCATCCATGGGAGGACTCACGGACATATACGACTTGCCGGGTTTCACGCCTTCACCTCAACACCTCATCTTGACCTTGGACTCAGAGGCGCTGGCGGATAGGACGAGGCGGGAGTCGAGCAACGCGAGGATGTCGTCGTAGATGCGGGCGAGCTCGGCCTCCACCACGAGCAGTAGGTGCGGAGAGAGGGAGCACGCGTGCCTGCGTAACATGGAGCTAGCCGGCGGCGGCGCTGCCGCTGCCGCCGCTGCACCCGCGCCATGCCAACGGAAGGGGCCGGAGCTGCCCGCACCCGCGCCGCACTACCGCCCAGCCTTCCTTCCTTCCTTCCTGGCGTTTATGCAGCGGCAGTGGCAAGCAGATGGGGCAGAGTCCGTGCGGCTGGGGGAGGGCGCCGGTAGCGGAAGGGACTGGGGCGGCTGCGGCGTGGCTTGCGGTGGTGACTCGTGGGTGGATGGAGTGCGGTGGTGGGTGGACAAAGGAGGTGAATTTGGGACGAGTAGAGACGCAGACACGGACGGTGGAGAATTTTCAATTGACCAGATAGGCAGAGACGCGTGGCACGGCGGGAGAGGGAAAAAATTGGCGGCGGCTGAAAAATTTGGTGATAGGTAAAGGCAAAAAAAAAAAAAATGATACCCCACGATTCAATGTCACACGATTTTTCATGACATATGATGACTTAGAAACCAAATTTGCAAAGTAGAGTACGCATACATTTGAATTTTCCTTCTAAATTCATCTTGAATCTTGGAATGTATTTGTATGTTCATAAATATATCTTTTTTCTACGACGTAGAGTACACTTACATTTATAGGATTATATGTCCTTGTGCATGATTGTGTATGGCATAATCCACCATGGAATTCGACTAATCAGTGGTGTAGCCATGTGGGCATAGTGAGAGCTATTAGAGAGTTTGTGTGTGTTAGGCTTTGTTTGCATAAAAATTTTGGAACTAATTTGTTATTTTTATAGTCAAAATGAATTTTTGCATGTTGGTGGAAAATAACTTCAAATTATACTGTGGGTACCTCTAACAAGTTTTAAACAAATCATAAAAAACTTATTTAGGAACATAAGTTTCACTCTAGCCCATATTCTCGAGATACTTTCAACCAACAACCAACAAGCTATCAATGTTGTTGTTGACAAATGCTGAAAACTATATATATATATATATATATATATATATATATATATATATATATATATATATATATATATATATATATATATATATATATGATTAAGTTATTTTTGTCAAATATATTTTTACCAGAGCAAATCCGGTCAAAACTGCCTACGCCACCCCTAGTCAACACAATCCCTAGTGATCACTTGGCCCTCGCCCGACGCAGGGAGGGGACCACCCGGGCCAGACTGTCTTCGGTCTTCACGAACGACACCCTTCGACCTTCGGAGAGGCTCTTCTGCCTCATCTACCATTTCACCCGGGGCATCCCTTCCTTCAGTCACGATCCTCGTAAACCTAACGAAACCTGAAGATTTCCTACAGACGACGAATACTCATATATAACGACAAAATGGTACTTGAACACTCGGAAATGATGAATACCAATCGCGCCCATAAGGCTACCCATTCGCCCTACGATGAACGCCCTTGTGGCGCCCCGCACACGCCAGTGAAGTTGCCGCGTTCTTTGAATGCTAGAGAAGCAGACTACAAGACGGCAGAGGGTGAGGGGGTGGCAAAGAAGGATGCCTGCCCCCAACACATAAAGTATGTGACTTTTGCACTGAGTTATACTCACTTTGTCAACAGAATGATGTAACTTTGAGATTTGCACAAAAGTGAGTATTACGGGCTTGATTGGTTTGCGACCAAAATTTTGTCATATCAAAGATTTGGCAAATCAAAGTTAGGTACAAAATTCGCCATAGATTTGGAAAGTTAAATGTGAAATGTTGGCAAGTTTTGGTAGCAAACCAAACAATAGCCTGAATTATGGCTTGCCAAATCCTTGCATATTTTGGATTCTTTTTGTTGATAAAGGGAGTATTGAGTAAATTTTAGTCGATATTATCATAAAAAATTCATATTATGAGATCTTGTAACATGTCCTTAAATATATTTTAATGAATTTTAAAAGTCTTATCTAAGGTACATATAGTTCAAATTTAAATTATTTTCAATCATTAAATACACATAAATTCAAAATTATTGACTATAAACATGGTCCTAACCTCCGTACACTTTGGTCCCCACTCCTGTACAAAAAATAGTAAAGTTCAAAAATTAATAAAACTCCAAAGTATATGTAGTATATTACATATAATAAATGGACCATGCTTTTTTCGAAATCTAATTAAAAATTAAAAATTAGAAATATATAGAGAGAATAAAATGCCAACTATAACATGCAGCCAAAAATTAGCTACTCCCGCTATCCGCCGCGCAAACCGCAGCCACCAGCCAAAAAGTCCCGCGCTCGTGCTCGAAACAAAAATCCCAATCTCAAATCTGGCCCCTCACATCCATACGGGCGCGTTTGGTATTGTTGGATCTCTCCTTCGGCAGTCGGCAAGCCGGCGACTCCCACTTTCGGCGCCCCTCCTCCCCTCCACCGCGACGCCCCTCCTCTCCACTCCCTGCTGCGCTCAGAGGGGCAGGACGCCGCCGCCCTAGCCGGAACTGCTGGCCTCCTGGCGCCGCATTGCCGACCATTGGCCAAGGCGGAAGCTGGGCCACGCACGCTTGCCACTGCCGTCCCCTAGCCGAAAGTGGGCGAAGGCTGCCGCTTGCCGTGGCTTGGGTGGGCAGGCCCTGCCGCCTGCGGCTTTGGGTTGGGCCTGGACCCGGTCCCAATCCGTGTCGTCTCCATCCGATCTGCGCCGTGCTGTGCTTCTTCACCCCTCAACGGTGAGATCCGCGCCGTTTTCTCCGGATGAATGTGTATGGAAGTTCGTGAGATGTCTTTGTAAATTGTGGTTCTAGGGTTAGGGTTGGCCAACAATCCTCTCTGTTTGCTCCATTTTCTTTTCTTTAATTTTGTATCGGCGATTGCTTCGTTGATTAGTTTCAATCAGATTATGATTTATTTGCCGGTTCTCTTGGCTTATTTGATCTGGTCGGGATAAATTGATTTGTTTCAAATAGCACCATTTCAAATAACAGACAATAGATTGATTATTATTTGGGTATAAACGAAAACTACTTTGGATTCTTATGTGTTAGCACATACTTATTCTTGAATCAATGATTGTCACTTTAGTTGAGTCAAAGCTAGCTTACAGCAGCAATAGAGGTATATTACCATGTATTGGGTGGTATATAGATCATAGTGTTGTAAGATTCGCAACATTTCAGTGACTGTTACCATGGATTTTGGCCTGCTACATGTGTATGTATTTTTTTTTTCAATTAGTATGTATATGCTCACTTATATTTACACCCTGGATCTATAGCAATCTTTATGTTGGCAAATATTAGCTACTCAGTTTGTAACTCTATAGCATATCAGTGGCTTTGTTACCACTGATTTTGGGCTCCTAGCTTGGGGGAAAAGCTAATTTGCTCAACAGCATGTAAGGTGTTCCTTTTCAGTGACTATAAGATTAAATTTCTGTACCATTCTTGCTCTTTAGTTGTGAATTTGTGACCCTATCTGAGATTGGTGCACTTGCTGCTGTTGCTTTCCTTCATAGTAGATTAAGATTGCACTTACAAATTGCCCCTGTTTCAGAACATATTCTTCCCTTAGAGCACCTGTCAGTTCATCTACTTTGGTTTCCCTGTGATGCTAGCTGATGGTACGTCTGTTTTCCTATATATACTTTGGTTCCCCTGGCAGTTCACTTCATTTACTAACTGGTTAAATTTTTGCAATCCTTTTGAGTACCTGAGTGTGACTGGAAGTGCCACAAATTTGAGTTTGACATTTGGTGTTGAAGAAACTTTCCTCTAGGTTAATTGAGATGTTGGTAGTATGTTATAAATTGATTGACTTGCCCCTTCTTTTTTCTTGGTAATGTGTTTTCTCTAACAATTGGTGAGACAAGAAAGGGAAATTTTGGCTATAGCTGTATTTTGCCACAAGATGTAGCTTAATTGTTATTGTTCAGAGATGGTAATTTTATAGCTCTCTGTTCTCTGTTACAGATTAAGCTCAAGATAATCAGTGGACATGTCCTAATCATGCTTGTAATTCAGTGCTTCATTGTTTAACGAGTTGTGATGCAATATTTGCCAAGTTTATATTGATACACACCACTTTTGATCTATTTCTGCCATGTTAAAACTATTTTCCTCGACTGCTTGTCTGCTTCATGGTGTCCTAGATTGTTGGATAAATTCCTGTTCGGCATAGCAAGATGCGTATAAGTTCTATATAATCTGTGAATATCTTTTGGCATGAGATAAATCTGATATTTAATCATTGTTTTACAATTTGCTGGTAGGGTGCCATGAAGCATAATTCTTTTCTAGTCAGTACTGAAAAGACATACCATGACACCATGGCTGGAGTAACAGAATATATAGTAGCAAACATATATTATTACATCAATAAGGGAATCATCGATTCTTAGGTTCCATGGTCATTTTTTTTGTTGCGCATTAACTATGTTCTCAGAGGACACTTTTTAGAAATATTGCCTAATAAGCACGTCTTCTCTTTTTCCTGCATGAGAGAGCATTTGTTCTGAAATTCTCAGCAATTGAAATATACTATCGGTGTTGTGTTCAGAACTGTCTATCTACTTCTCCATGGTATGCACATCCTCCGTCCTTTCCCTGCATATTAGTAGATTATTGTGTTTGCCTCAATACCTAAACTTTTCCTAGAAATGTTGCACAATTGATAATGAAACAGACCAACTCAGTTATGCGAGAATGACATGCTAAATGAATTTATGTAGTGATTGTGATTTAGAATCATTGCACGCAAGTGCTTGTAATGATTTATAAATAAACAAAGAAATCTGCTACTGCTACTCTATTATGAAAATGTAAATAACCAAACATATTCAGTATTTCAGTGTTGGCTATTCAGATTCAGATATTCAGTGTACACTGCTTCTTAAATTAAAACAACGAATTAACAAAAGAATCATGTAGTTTCTTCCTTGCGCTGTACTTTCTGGAAATTTTTCTTTCCAGTTGCTCTGTCGATCTCGTTTTTTGTTGATTATTAGCTGTACTTATTATTCAAAGTGCAGGCTACTGAGGGGCAGGAGGAGGCATAGTTTGCTAACGCTTTGGTATCCAACACACAGCTGCATCGTCTTCAAATGGAGGTGAATTTAGTTCTGGTTTGGTGTGGACTAGCTTAATTAGCAAGGCTTAGCTTCAAGCTTAAATTGTGCAAGTGGTTTTGCCATGTTCTCTGTAGCAATCCTATGCATGCTATGATGAGATGCATCTGAATCTACTTCATTATATCATGTGATTATCATCTAAGTCTAGTGCAAACAAGTTGCCATATGATTATCATCTAAGTCTAGTGCAAACAAGTTGCCATAAACATACTTCTGACTGTGCTTGGTGATTATCATCTACTTGATTAGCAAGACACATTTTGTTTTTGACAAATGGTCTATACCCTGTAGCTCAATATTCTATTCTATCAAATTTGGTATCATCTCTATAAAT